TACTGTGACATCTCACGAGGTATCCTTATGAGTACGAAAAAAAAACAGTGTGCGATATGACCTACATAGAAGACGTTCTCTCAGAAAAAAAGACATCGTCTCAATAATTTTCAGTATAGCTCCAAAGCCAACTCCACATTAAAAACGTTGATCACTCGAGGTCCTCGAGCGGTCTTTCAGATTTCCTTGACCTTAGTGTCGCCTATAAATCCAAACTCCTCACTCCCACTGCTGCGATCCATGACCTATTTTCGAACCTTTATACTGAAACAAGTGAATTTTTTTTATTTTTTTCAGTATTTGTCGAGAATCGAACAAAGCCTAACCACTGAGTCGATACTTTGAATTGTTAAAAATGCTTCGTTTTGAATTGCGCCATGCATTTAAGTTCCATAAAAAAATAGTTGCATGTACATGGGGATGCACATTTTGTGTTGTTTGTAGAGGCTGATTGGTCTCCGAGGATGGCGTATTCAGAAATCGCTTTATAGTGCATCATGTACCCGACTTCACTCCGTACAATGTGCAAGTGATTGAATGGTTTTGCCCAAAAACTCATTCATTTTTTCTAACGTGGAAACTTCATATGACTGCAACTAGAGTCTCTGCACTCAACACTCCTCCTTACAGGGTATATTGAGAATATGACATCAAATTATGGCAAAATAATTGAGTCGATTTTTTTTTGACATTTTCCAATTCTCCAGAGGGATTTTTCTCCACAATCTGAGGAGCGCTGAGGCACCCTATTATTGTAGAAATCTTCTTGTTCTTGGCACGACTTCCATGGTGAACCTTATCATAGATCAAAGTTCTTTTCTTGGTATGACCCCAAACTCTCTCTTCGTCACCCAAAAATATAATAAAATTGTATTTTCTCCTTTCCATTGAACTTTTGCATTTGAAATGTAAAACTGTCAGATTCCCCGTGGAAACTGCTATCCCATGATATATGGGTCAACCCGTGATGAAAACCTCCCTTCATAGTCATTTCCTGCGGGGAACATCCGTTCCGCGCGTCCGTCAAAATTAGGTCAGCCGTCCATTCCACAGCGCAGTCCACTGCGCTCTCGAGTTGGCATTACAGTACCACTAAGTGTCAGTACAGCGGATCATTTGTACTGGTACGTGTTACCTTACTTTTAAGCAGACTGCAGTGGACCATGCGCAGATCGCATGCCCCACTGACAATTGCAACGTCGTCAAGAATCGCGGTTGACCCGCCGCATGCAACGGCTGCGGCGTGAACTCGATCCGACGGACGCGCGGAACGAAGCGGATCCATTTTCTTCCGTATGCCCGTTGCTGAGCGGTTTCCTGCTGGGCGTGTCTGGATACGCAGGTGGCTGAGTACTGTAGTGGCACGGAGTTTGAATGGTGGCTTTGGGAGACTTTGATTCGTAGGCGGCATGTTCCGTATTGACAGGAGCTGAAGGCGGTTTCGAATAATGACTACTAGATTGGGGGCTGGACACGCATGCGGGTGGGAACTGTAATGGCGGTGGAGCAGTTTGAGTGGTATATTCGGGGCGGTTTTAACGGGCAGAAGCGGAAAGGTGGGTGAGTTTCGATGATGATTATCTGCATGTGGTGAGATCTGCAGGAGAGAAGGTACTGTAGGGAGAAGGGGTGCGGTATTTGAGCGTGGTTTTGGCAAGTTTGTAAGGGCCGGGTGGGAAAGTGAAGTCGTTTGAATAGGGTTTCGTTATTGGTGGGTGAAATCTGCAGAAGGTACAAAGCTGATTGTGAAGAGTATAAAGTAGTTTTCAGACAGAAGCTGAGTCGGCAAGTTATCAAGTATAAGGGCGTTAATTCTGTTCCTACGGCTCCATCTGCTATCCCCATTCAAATCCCGCACCACCCATCTCTACAATACCCCGTCTCCTGCAGATCTTACCTTCACTCAATTATTCGAACCAACCCCCTTTCCGGTCACTTCAGTATCCCGCCACTTCGGATCTAACACTCAATTCAAACAATTACTGTTCAAAAAGCCCCAACTTCCCTCCGTTACAGTACCCAACCGTCTGCGTATCCAAGTCCCCATACAAGTAGTCATTAAGTAAGATTTAGTGTTTGCTATTAATTCACAGAACAACTGAGTCGAATGTTTTTAATCTCGGATCCGAGTAACGTTTTTTAAATGAGTCGAAAATGGTCAATAATAATTTATTACAACTAAGAATTAATGCGAACAATGAGATTACAACAAAGAGATGAGAGATAGACTAATACGGTAATAAGGGACGGAACCTTTCTCAAAATAAATGACGGTGACCTATTTACAGGGACCAGCGAAGTAGGCGTGTCACACTAGCGTAACCCTGGATACATTTACAACGGCAGCGTGAGGTGCCGTAGGTACTTGGTGTTTTCACAATGGGCCGATTACTCGACTTGATATTATCTCCCTTACTTATAAAGCACAATTTTGGTGTGTCTGTGTGTCGGTTTGTCGGTCTGTCAGTCCGCAAAACTCCATGATTACGATAAAAGTACTGATATGGAAAACCTAGCTTCATCCAACATTTCCTTCTTATATGTAAAGCAGTGAATTGGTGGGTAGGCTAATGGAGCGAGTGCTGCAGAATGTAGTGAGTATGGAGTAAAGTGGGTACTTTGGCACCGTGACTTCGATTGACACTGGTTATAATAAAAACCGATGTATTGGGAAGTCGTACAATTACATGATAATAATACTAAATAGATTATGTGCATGTCCTATACTTACGAATATTCAAAACTTCCTTCAGCTCCTACCAACACGGAACCATGCCGCCTGCGAACTAAAGCCCCACAAAGCCACCATTCGAAGCCCCGCCACTACTTCACCCGGCCACATGCGTATCCAAACACCCCGCAGAAAACCGCAAAGCAACAGGCATAAGGCAGAAAATGGTTATGATGGGATGTTTTCATCCTTTCAGGTTGACTCATATATCATTAGATAGAATTTTTCACGAGAAATCTAGCAGCGCACATTTTATTTGCACAAAAACCAATGGAAAAGGAAAAAACATAATTTTATGATTTTTGCGTGTCGAGAGCGAAGTTTGACACCATACCATGGAGGGAACTTTGATCTGTGGTTGATCTACATTATGATGTACCATGATAGTCTTGCAAAAAAGTAAAGGATGTCTATGATAACAGAGTGCCTCAATGTTCCTCGGATTCCGAAAAAACCCCCCGAGAATTATAGAATGTAAAAAAAATCGACTCAATTAATTTGTCGTAATTTGATGTCATGTTCTCAATGTTGGCCGGAGGTGGTGTAGTGGCAAGTGGCGCACTACATCACACGCACGGTCAAGGGTTCGAAACCCGGATCGATGCCCACCTAGGCCAACCAAGCCTTCCATCCCTCCGGGGTCGGTGAATTGGTACCAGACTTGACTGGGATGATAAAAGCACTGACTTGTACATCGGCTGGCCACCGCAAGTCATTGTATAGGCCACATACGCACTCATTACGCCACTACGATTCTGAATGGAAGTCGAGTGCGGGAGCGCATCCCTCATACGGGATTGATTAACGCCAAAAACTTGATCCTTTTTTATTATTCTCAATGTACCCTGTAAGGAGTGTTGAGTGCAGAAACTGTAGTTGCAGTCATATAAAGTCAAGTTAGAGGCACAGTTCACGATAATTTTGGGTAACCCAGATTATGACGAAAAATGGAAGATAAGATGGAAAATAGTGCAATGGAGGCGAAGGAACTGCACGCATCGATGTTTCCGAAGTGAAAAAAGGCTTCGAAAAATCGTAAAAAAAAGGATGGAACGAGAATGAGACCAGAGGAATGAAGAAAAGTGGGGCGTTTGGACGAGCTACGCACGGCCCGTCATTGTGTATGTGTAGGTCCTAGTGCAAATATCTGACCGTGGCAAGCAAAAATGCATCTTCTTATAAGCATAAGTAAACAAGGAACCATAGTCACAGCTGGAACGGCTCACCTTTTTCAGCCTCTTGGGGTAGGAAATCAAAAAAGGGAACGCGACTGCAAAACGAATAATGGAGGAAAAAATGGGAGAAAAACATCTCCTCATCACTCGGCGATTAGCTGATTGTGCGTGGGTCCTAGAACGAACATTCGCGATCTGTATATTTCGACACTCGTTTAACGTAACACCGATCGAGGGGCGGGAAAGCGAACTACGGCAGCAACGGGGCTTCCACTATGCCCTAACCGCCGAGATTGTGAGAGCGAGAGGATCCCTTCTACCACCCATGGCGGCCACTGAGTATACCTGAGGGAACAACTCAGTAGCCATTTTAATCGTGAATCGTGCCTTTAACATTAGAAAAAGTCGAGATTTTATTAAGTTCAGGAGTTTTATAAAGTTAAGTTAGCGTTAGGAAAAGAACAATGGAGTCTAGACAAAATCAATCACTTTCACATTGTACTGAGACGCACTCTAAAGCGATTTCTGAATACTGCCTCCCCAGAGACCAATCAACCCCCACAGGCACTAAAACGTGCACCCCATGTACATGCAACTACTTTCTAATGAAGCTTAAGTGAAATCCGAAACTAATCATTTTCAATTCTTCAAGTATCGACTCATAAAGGTAGACAAGTTGAGTTCAACAGTATCTTCTATCTTGGAATACCCACTCGGAACCGACTTCTGGAGAAAAGATGAAAAAGATGAGAGCTAGCGGTATTCGCGCGAATTTGGGTGTTCTTACTGCAAGCACTGTAGTCAAAGAGTCCACACAGTCACACAGCCATATACACGTCTTTCAGAGCATGCTTACAGCTAGCATATATATGCACAGTAGTAGTACACTACTCATCTCATTGTCAGAAACGTTTTAAATGCAGCTGCAGTGTCACCAGAAAGTCAAGTAAAAAAAACTGTTTAAGTGACATGAGGTCAGCGCTTCGCTTAACTGTTCGGTTGTCTTGCGTGGCATAACAAATTTGCGACAAAAACATCATTAGATAGCCCTTTAGAGATTGGTTTCCCATCAGCTTTAGAATCAACTTTCAGAAATGCTTGGTTATAGTAGCTGCAAATCGAAGTCACAGCCATCTATTGCACATTCCCTTTCAGGGATTTCAGTATGTTATTGAGAATCGTTTGAAGAACCAGATTTCAAGTTGTTTTTCCAGGGGATGGGGAAGCAAACTTGTAATCGATGCGGCAAACAGGTCTACCCTACAGACAAAGTCGGACCTCTGAAGGACTCAACGTTTTTTCATCAAGGTTGGTACACAGTCCAATATCAATATTGAACGTTTCACTGATTACCTTCAAACGAAGAATCTTAACAACGGGCACGGCTCCTTTGCATTTTCTTCCTTTACCTACTGAGCAAAGTGTGATGTGCATCATTCGTTGCCCACTCCATAAAAGCGTACAACCCTGGATTCCTGAGTATAGTGAGGATCTTGAGGAACTCCTCGCGGCTTTTGTTAATCTGAGAAGAGCTTTCACTACTATCAACACCTTGAGCAGTAATGAATTCTCATTGAAAACTGGTGTCACTTCTGGTAGTTGTCATATCAAATTCATTTTGTTACAAAGGTGGCATGCGAATAAGTAGGACATTTATGTTATCTCATTCCTGTAGCCTTTGATTGATTGGCCATAGGTAATGACAGCTATGACGACGAACCCATCGACGTGAGAAAAAAATAAAAAATTTCAAGAATAAGTTTTGTTGTTATTGCTTCGTCAGCTTGACGATGTTCTGCTATAAAAGCGTAGGTAGTTGTTTGACATTTCAGGTTGTTTCAAGTGCTATATTTGCGGCACCCGACTGGCTTTGAAGACCTACTGTAATAATCGAAGCGATCAAAGCGACAAGGTTAGTGTGCTGAATATTTTAGTGAGCAGAAGTACAATGAAGCTGTTCTGAGCACATTGCTATACCGTAAGATTTCGCATAGCCTGCATTTCTCTGGAGAACGAAACCCGTTTGATCAATTTCTGCGCTACCGCCTTATTGTCATTGGCGAATTATTAGGTTGATGCATAATTATTGCGGATTTTTTCGCGGCTCTTTTTCTCTTGAAAGAATTTGACTTTCGAGTTCGGGTTTTTTTCTAGAAATGATCTACTTGATTTCCTCTACAAGAATAAACTCAAAAAACCATCCGTATATTCGCGAAATTAAGCTTTACTGCTTCGAGAAAGATTGGAAGGTGGCGCACTCATTCCGCGATCTCAGTAACTTTTCAGCGATCGTTCATTAGGTGATCTAGTGAAGGTGCACATGATGTCCTGGTGGTCAAACACGGTCAAATACGGTCAAACATTTCG